CACATGCATACAAATGTCTGTTATATGCACATATATATATATAAAAATATAAAATCTGTAATGTGTACCTAGATGTGGGTATGTGTATGAATATATGTTTGTGTGTATATGTATGCATGTATATGAATTTACCTCTGTGTAAATATTTATGTAGTCGTATATGGGTCATCTGCATGTACATGCACCTATGTGTATTAAAGTATGTAAGCATGTGCATTATATATAGAATATTATGTATATTACATAAAACGTGTGATATGCATACATATATTATGTATATAGCCTGTGTATGTATACACACCAGTAGTGTTCCACGTGTTGGATTCTGTTCTACTCGCATAAACAGCAGATTAGTGCTTACTGAGCTATCTGTGTTCTGCATGTGCTTGTGTGTGCAGATGTAGCTATAGCGTATTGTGCATTTCCTCATACACACACATTCTCCGTATCTATATAACTCTCTATATAAAGAATGTGCGAGTGACTCTATATGTTTATACATACATGTTTTACATATTGTGTGTGTGTGTGTGTGCACATACGTATATAAATTTATATAGGTGTGTATTATATAAAGGGCTACACAGCTATAAATAGACTGCCATGTGTAAAAGCAATATACAAAGTGAGTGTCCATGTATAGCTACAGTGTATCATAGATGTATATTCTTCCCTATCCATTTTCCCCATATAGATTTTTTTTTTTTAACGAACACACACACACACACACACACACACACACACACACACACACACACACACACACACAAAAATACATATTTAAAAAGCTATATAAAGAAAGGGGCTTGGAGTATGTAGGGATGGATTAATATGTAGATATATTTTTCACATACCACTTCATATACAGTCTTTCCGTACCAGCATACAGAGAACAAAACATTTATATAAAATGGGGGGTTGTAAAACTAAAATCCTGTATGTAATTTTAGATGTGTATATAGACACACATGCATTTTATATAATACACACAGCTGGAGACATATGGTATTTATTTATATGCCCATTTTATGTATATGGAGATCTCAGGCTCCATAAAGAGATGTGCGTATATAAAGAAGCTATATGAAGGGGCAACATGTTATCTACAAAGAAATAGCTAGACACAGGGTGTCAGGCGCACAAGAGGGGGTGGAGGCACGGAGGTTTTGGCAATCATTGACCCAACTGCCTCTCTGTGCTCTCTTCCCTGTAGACAGCTGTGTCCCCAAGGCAGCCATCTGTGTGGTCACCACCACTGCCATCGATGTCCATCACCCTAACATCTCCTCAGACCTCTTCACAGTGGAGGTGCCAGTGCGGCTGGGCAGCACCAGGACATCTGCCAGCATCACCTCGGGCAGCGCTTCCCGGTCGACCGTCAGCTCAGGCACCCAGGCCTGCAGCGAGAGCAGCCAGACACTGGGCTCCTTCCCTGACTGCAGCACAGCCTGCGAGGATGCGATGGAAGCTGGCATGGGCTCACAGGGTGACCCTGCACCTGCCCAGCAGCGGGTGGCCCACACCATGGTGCAGGAGCTGCTGTCGTCCCTGTCAGAAGAGGTCTGCCTGGCACAGAAGGGGCTGGATCCCGTCAACCTGAAGCTGCCCAGCCCTGTGGGCTCAGTGGGCACCAGCCCTGACCTGGGTCACCGTCTCAGCGTCTACAACCGCAGGAATCAGGAAAGCCTTGATGTTTTCCAGCTCAAACCACTCATTGACTGTCCACAGGGTGCCCCGGTGATCGATGAGAAGTATGGAGCGCTGGGGTCCCCAGAGCCACGGCTAGGCAGAGTTCCTGAGGCATAGGGACAGCCTGGCACAACAGGGACAGCTGTGGGGACAACACTCACTGTGCTGAGCCCTGACACTGCTGCAAGCGAGGTGGCAGTGCTGGCAGCCATCAGCCTGGGGCCAAGTCTGCATTGCCTCTGCCCACTACTCTCTGTGGGGCATGATGAACCTGCCCTGCCACCAGCTCTGGGCCAGGTGGGACTTTCCATGTCCTCTAGTGCACAACAGCAGCCTTAGGCCAACATGGACCTACCGTGCCTGAGGAGACAGACTATGGACCTATCCTGCCACGAGCATGGGGTCAGCCCAATGATGCCCAGGAGCACCTTAGACCTTCCACCAGACAGGGGCTGGCACACAATGCTCCCCAGGGACAGGAAAGAGCTGCTACACAGCCTGAAGAATCCAGGGGCTGAGCCAGGATGGAAATAAACTCTGACATAAACATGCTGCCTCCTGCCTTGTATTCCTCTCATCCTCTTTCCTTCCTTCCACCCCACCACCCCCAGTGTGCCATTCCATTGCCCATCAAAAAAGAAACCCAGCACCACAGTAACCCCACCTCTTTCCAGTACAATCCTTTATTTGCCCTTGTTCCCCACACCACACCTCAACTGCAGTGGCAGGGTCCATCATTGCTCACTTCTTCTTCAGAAGCTCCGTCATCTCCGGCACGGCCTGCAAACATCAGTGCTAGGGTAACGCCTGCTCTCCCCTCTGACCCTCCAAACTCTCCCTGTACAGAACCCAGCCGCCCCAGTTACACTCCCTACCCTCCCAGCCCTCATGCCCAGACCACCACTCCAGGGACTGTGTGTCACCCCAGCTCACAGCACTCCCCACTTCTCGCCTGCTGAATAAAGCCTCTTAATTATTTAAGAGAGCTACATTTCCATTAGGTGGAAATAATGCATTCGTACAAAATTTATTAAGGAAATTGTCTACATGGTGTTTCTTCAGAATGTGACTTTTCTCCGGCTTATGGAAAGGCCCACACTTGCCGCTGAGCCAGCGGGCGTTAGTTCAGGAATGGCATTAAGTGCTGGCAGAGTTTCTGCCCACACACCTCTCCACAGAGGTACAAACTCCCAGCAGTCACACATGGACGTGCACTAAGGCGGCTCACACATGCCAGTCCTAGGCACTCTGACATGGGCTAGCTCACAGCCTAGTTTTCCCAGAGAGAACTGCAAATTCCTTATGAGCATCAGTAGGGCAGCAAGCCCAGACAAAAAAGTATTCCTATTGCAGTTTCAAACACCACCAGCTGTACTTTCTTACTTTATTAAGATTAAAAATACATGTAAGCACCTTTATGCAGTTATTTCTCAAAATCGTTCACATTCAGGAAACTAGAATACAGGCAGGCTGGCTATGGCACCCCCACCACACACAATAGCTTCTACTTGCAGGGACTGACTTTTGAGAATGAAAATTAGGAAATCCTAAAGCAAACTCTTTAATAAAACCACACAAAGAGAGACATTTTTAACACTTACTAGATCTATCAGCTACCTAAGCTACCATCAGCTCGCTGAAGAGTTACCCCAGCCATCTCCAAGTTTAGCCTTACCTGAAATAAGTCTGCCACCAGTCCGTAGTCTGCCACTTGGAAAATTGGAGCTTCTGGATCCTTGTTAATAGCAACAATGGTCTGCAAGCAACAGTAAAGCACCGTGTGAATATAAACATATTCATTAACATCTAGGGCCGGATTACAGTGATGGGCCTTAGCTAGGCAACATGGGCTTCTCTCCAAGCTCCCAGGAAGAAAATCACAGCAGTTAAACATTTCTCCTTGCCACCTTAAAAACAAACCAACAAAACCAAACACTCCCCTCAAAAAAAAAACCCCAAACCCTTCCTTTCCCTGCTCATTCCATACACCAGGGCTATCCCTTCCCTTTTGAGTCTAGAAAAAAAAATTACTACAAAAGATTATCTGCAAGGTCTAAGCCATACCATGACAGAAACAACTCAGAAGTGGCATTTAGAGCCAGTACAATAAAACCATGTCCAAAGGCTTCTACTTACTATGAGACATATAATTTAGTTTGTCACACAGTAGAAAAACATGCACAACCTAAATCCCAACACAACGATCCACAAAAATGTCTGTCTTGGTTTAAACTCTGCCATACAGGTAAATAATTCTGTAAACGTCTGTGACAGCTTTCAGCAAAATAAGCGTGGGTGTCCACATCAAAGTCTACAGCAGGATGGGAAGCACTCCATAAAGGGAGGGGGGGAAGAAACAAAAACACCAAAAAAAGCCACCTCAAAAAAAAAACCAAACCCAAACCACGCTAAAAACCTACAACCCATTCCTCCACCCCCCCAAAAAAAACCAACAACACAAAACAAAAACCCAAACAAAAAAACACACACCAAAAAACCAAAACAACCCACCACAACAGCTGATAAAAGGAGCCGGACACCAAGAAGGGGTCTACACCCACACACTCCAGTACTGCCTTTCCAACTACATGCTGCCAGGATGCTCTGATTTGGGCAAGACTGCTCCAGACAGCTGTAATGCAAGGTGTTTGATTCACTTACCTGCTCTCCTGGGCAGCCACGGCTCATGTCTGTGTTACTCCCTCCACTGAATGTACTTTTCCAACAAAGTTAGTGGCTCAGTAGCACAGGCCTAGTGGCAGTAACTCAAATTGTAACTCAAATTTTGCAAATCCTGTGGTTTTAGGCCCACAGAAATGTCTTTTCTTCACAGGTCATCCGTATCCTGTGATAACTCACTATGAAGAAGGACAACACTATACATGCAAGAAAAAAGTACCCGCAGCAGAGCCCTGATGCTGTCGTCTTGCCAGCTCATACGCAAAGCCCAGCAAGTACTCCAGTAATGCCTCACCTGAAAGATTTTCCCCAAAGCTTTATTTTTATTTCAGTTACTCCATTAGCAAACGCAAGGTTCCACAGACAATTCTACAGTGCAGGAATCAAAATCCAGGCTGTGATACCTGAGGATGTTCACTCAAAAACCTTCTATGGTCTGAGGCCCTACCATGCTTTGCAGGACCATTCCCAGGGGCAGGACACCACAGGGGCTAGTCCTGAGGGCCAGCTGAAGCCAGCAGTTGGTGATACCCTGGGGGCTGCCAGCTCTGTCCTCATCACAGAAATAACTGGCACCAATTGCTTGCAGAACTGTCCTAAGCTTTAGTTTGGTATCCATCTTTCCTCCGTCTCCATGTGCTGAAGTAACCTTAGTAAGACCTGGTTCTCTACCTCATCGCTAAACCTGACTTTCCATGGTAAGAAGCGAAATCATCACCTCGCTTGCAACATAACTTTTGCAAGTTAAACTCTTAGAAAGACAAGACACTACCTCATAAGAGAATTAAAAATAAGGAAAAAGAGCAAATGACAACTCTCCAGGTCTCCTCAAAAGCTGCATTTTCTACCGTGCTGTAAAAGGACAAATCAATTCTACATTTCACTTGGTAGAAAGCCTCTGACTACTTTGGAAAACGTATCCTGAAGTGTACAAGTTCACAATGCCAGATAATTCACAGTGCTGAGGGAAGCCGGGGGACACTCCAGAGTTCCCATGGCTGCATAATTATTTGTTTGTAAAAAATGAATCTTTTCAGTAACTACAACGCCCATGTGCTTTGACCAAAAGCAAAGCAGAACACATTTCAAACACAAGTAAAACTAAATTTTCAATACACATTTGTTTACACTAGAAAAACTACATTATACAGGAGAAATAAAACAAAAATAAAAATATGCATCTTATATTAACAAATTTCATCTGTCCTTATTTCCTATGAAAGAACATCAAAATATCAAACGTGGCATTGGAAAAGCCAAAGAAGTAGAGGTTTTGCTGTGGTGGTACAGGACAATATTGCTGCTCCATCGTTTTATATCAAAGGAAGTTCTGTCATTTAAAGTAACAGGTTCCCACTATTGCCAGTAGTCGTAACTGACCGGGCAGGAGACAGATACAAAAGAGCAGCTTTAAATACACCTTTCAGCCCGTGGCTGATATTAATTCTACCCACCCATTTTCTCCCTCACCAAAAAGCACAGTTGGAGACTAAACGCCCCAAAACAAAGACCCTGTTAATACTGTGGCCCATCAGCTACCAGCAGAGTCCAGAGGGAGTCGAGGACAACTGTGGCAGTACCACATCAGCGCTGCTCTCACTGACTGCTGCTCTCTGACTCCTGTTGTCTCTCTGTTGCAACACTGCAAGTAAAGGAGACCATGGCAATGCTGTTCCACTATGACCAGTGAGAATACACTGCTACAAACACAATTATTCACACTTCTCAATAGTGACCTTCATCCCTTCATTCATTCTTTATTCCTAACTTTGGTTGGTTTTTCTCCACCATATCAACTAGTACTAAGAGTTCGAGTTCCCAGTTTTAGAAGACTGAGAGCTGTATCCCAAATCCCACCTACACAGTTTACTCCCAAAAATATTTAATATATGCAAAAAGAGCTAAAATGTAAGAAAGTACAGATCATCCTACCACACAGCTGGCTTGTGAGGACAATTATAGTCACAGACTCACTAGTCTGTCAGTGGTTAAACACAAGGATCTGCCTCTAAAGTTCTGCAAACCTTTTCCTCAGTTTGATAAGCTATTCAAAGTTCTGGGTTTGGTTTCTGCCAGAAAGCATAAATTCCTTCCCTGGAAATAGAAAAAAAAAAATAAATTTACATCCTTCTTCGCAAATTATCTGCGAGAAGGCAAGACAACCCACGGGTTTTGATGTTTGGCATTTGACAGTATGATTCAGCAGGTAATTCTGCTCTTCTTTCCAAACACTGCACCGTGGACCAAACTGGCAAATCTAATTTCAGATTATTTGCCTTGGCAACTAATGAGTTAAACCTTTTAAAGTTTTACTGCCATTTTATAATAGGTTTCCATTTGAATGGCTAAATGCAGGAACGTCAGAGACATCTTTTACTTTATGGAAAAGTAAGTTCATAATTCAAACTGCACATTGTTATGCATGAATTAATGTGTCA